AATATGTCACGTCAGCGATTCAAATTTTTTGTTTTTATTAATATGTATTGAATTTTTTTTAAATGAATGTAATAATGTTAGTTTTAAATTTAATGAAAATAAATATAATTTGATTTTTTGAATGTATTTTTTAGGGTTTTTAATTAATCGAAATTAAATACTTCATTTATGAAATGATTATTTTTCTCCAATCTTGTAGGTTTTAAGAAGTTCTAAAACATTTTTGCCTACAATAGCTCGATTATGTTTAATATCAACATTTGTAGAAGATGGATTGAGGATGTGGTTTCAATGGACTGAACAAAAAGATTATATGAACATGATATGGGGTTGTGGAGCTTTCTTAGCAACATTATTTGTTATAATTAATTTAACAGGTCAACTCGGTGGTTGTATTATGGTTCTAGCTAGATTTAAAGTTTCTGTAGCATGTGGAATATTATTTTTCATTGTAGTACTTCAGGTGATTTTATTTTATTTTTCTACCCATCACAAATAAAATATTCATTCGATTTAATTTAAATTTAACTTGTAACCTGAATAACAAAGAAGCAAATTGATTTTAGGCTACATTAAATAAATATTTAATGATTGCTTGCCTAAACAATCTATTGATAAATTACATATTTTAATTTTAATTATGAATGTTTATATTTTGATATGCCATTTATGTGATTGTTTAATAAAAATTTTATTTTTATTGTTTTCTCTTTTCAGACCATTGCCTATAATATATTATGGGATGTACAATTTTTGTTCAGAAATCTTGCACTCATAGGAGCATTATTACTTGTTTTGGCAGAAAGCAGGGTAGAGGGAAGAAGTTTATTCGCTGGAGTTCCTACATTGGGAGATAATAAACCAAAAAATTATTTACAATTAACAGGAAGAATTTTATTAGCTTTCATGTTTATCACATTAATTAGATTTGAACTTTCATTTTTACAGGTAAAAAATTTCATTCATTACGATTTGCAAAAAATTATTATTATTATCGTTATTTTTTTTCCTCTCAATATTTAAAAAACCATCGAATAATAATAATAATTTTTATTTAAAAAAAAACAAATTTGTTTTTTTCCCTTCAATGCTATTTGTTTAATATTAAACAAAAATTTTTTTTAAATAAAGGTCAAGTTGTAGAAAATTAAACCTTGAAATTAAAAATATTTGAATTTTATTTTTTTTTATAAAAATTTGTTTGTTAAATAAATGTGAATTGTTTAAAAAAAAAAAAAAAAAAACAAAAATTAGTCCTTAAAAAAATTTTATTCTGGTTTAATTTTTTGTAAACAAATTGAAAAGTTTTTTTTTATAATTTTTTCCAGGTAGTCCAAGATATTTTAGGATCAATTTTAATGGTTTTGGTCACCATTGGATATAAAACAAAACTCAGTGCATTGTTGTTAGTTTGTATTCTCACAATTCTCAATTTATATCATAATGCTTGGTGGAACATTCCTTCGTATAAACCTCTGAGAGATTTTCTTAAATATGACTTTTTCCAGGTTAATGAATTAAATTTTTTCTCCATTATTTACTTTTAAAGAGGATTCAAAATGATGAAAGGAGGGAATTAAATTGTTGATATTGTTTTTTGTGTTTCAGACTTTGTCTGTTGTCGGAGGTCTTTTAATGATTGTTCAATTAGGTCCTGGTGGAGTTTCCATGGATGAACATAAGAAGGAATGGTGAAAACCCAACGCGAGACATGAAAGGAAAAAATAAGAAGAAAAAAAATAAAAAAAATAAAAAAGCAGAAAAAAAAATAAAATACATAAATATATAAATAAATAAATATATATATATATCTATTAATATATATATCAATACAACAACAACAACAAAAAAAAATGAAAATAATTTGACAGTTTGCATTTTTTTAAGAGATTGGGGGGGGGAGGGGGAGGCGGTCTCTAAAACGATTAGGATGCTGCTGAACATTGGCTTGAAAAAAAAAAAAAAAAATTTTGACCTCTTTTTATATTTTGCCTAAACTTAAATCATCCTCCTAAATTTATTTTTATTTTTATTTTCTCTCTATTTTACTATTATTATTATTATTATTATTATTATTATTATTATTATTATTTTATTTTTATTTAAATATATATTTATTGGGAAAAAAAAACCGAAAAAAAAAAAAAAAAAAAAACAAAAAGAAAATATTAAAAAAATTTTTTTTGTTTTCGTAAGCTGTCGTCTTCCTCTTTTTAGGCAATTTAAAAAAACTTTTACTATTGATTTTTATTATCATTATTATTACTTTTTTTTTTTTTTTTTTTGAAAATTGAATAAAAGAAAATGTTAAGTATTTGTTTTGAAAAATTATTATTATTATTATTTTATGTTGATTATACAAATGAATTGAAAAAAAGGAAAAAAAATATGGGATTCGTTTCAGTCATCATTTCAATTACACTTGAAATATAACAAATAATTTATTATTATTATTATTATTATTATTATCATTGTGTTAAAATTTAATTATAAAAAAAAGCAATAATAAATTTTTTTTTAAAGAAAAAATAAAAGGAAAAGTAATAAAAATACGTAAATAATAATAATTTTTGGTTTTCGACGACGACGATGATGACGACGACGACGTTGTCGTTTGTCGTTTGTAGTCATTTTTATGCAAACGTGTCAAAAAAAAAAAAAAAAAAAAAACATATTTCGACTGATTTAAAATAAAAAATAAATAAATATATATGTATATACAAAAAGAAAATGGAATAATATAATAAAATGTACAAATTTATTATTAATTGTTTATATATATATATATTTTGTGATAAATTCAAATAATCATCATATTGGACATACATTTATTATTATTATTTTTATTATTATTATTATTATTTTTTTTTTTTTAAAAGATTTTATTAAATCAATCCCTGCATGAGAATAAATAAATAAATAAAATAATAGTTTTTTTTTGAAATTATATCAAGGATAAATAAATAAATACAAAAAAAAAAAAAAATTGGAACATGAATCAGCTGTTTTTTATTTTGTTTTGTTTTTCCCCTTTTAATTTTTAAATGGTAGAGAGATTAATAATAATAATAATAATAATAATAATTGAAGATTTCGTAAAAAATTAACCTTTGATTATAAATATTTTTTTTTTTTTTTTTAAAAATACATCCTTGAAAAAAAAAAAAAATTTAAACGGTTGTAATAATTAAAATGGTCGTTAATTATTTTTTTTTTTTTGTACTACGACGTAACGAATATAATTATTTTTTAAAAACCACTCTCTCTCTCTCTCTCTCTCTCTCTCTCTCTCTCTCTCTCTCTCTCTCTCTTTCTTATTTAGAAGCTTATCATTTATCGTTGTTTTTAAAAAAAAAAACAAAATGACAATTGTGTTATCAGGGGGAAAAGAAATTTTTTACTATCGTGAAATTAGTTTTTTTATTTTTATTTTGTTTTAACAAACAGTTACATAATCGTTTATTTCTTTTTAAAAACTGTATTACCGAGTGCCAACATACATTTTCGTATCGATTGCTGACATAGAAGATAATCTCGAAATGGCGGAGCTAATATCCCATGTAGAGTTTTTAATATTTCTAAATAAATATCCAAAGCATTTTGAAAATTTCCCGTTTGTGCATATTTTATCGCTTGCTTATATAAAATATCCGTATCCTGTTAATAATAATAATAATAATAAACTGCATTAATAAATAATTTACCTTTGTTTCAATTTACAATTTACAATTTAACCTTTGAGTTAATAATTCGAAAAATTTTTGTTTACATTTATTTATTTATTATTGACATAGTAAATATTATTATCACACGCACACGCACACAAATCTCCTCCTCCTTGTTTTTATCAAGAGGAGTAGTTAGAGAAAAAAAAAATAATAATAATAATATGTTATATCATGTACCTGTAAAGCTTTAAGACCTTTAAATAAATTTGTATGTTGATTACATTGAGAACATTTTATCATAAAATCATCCGTGTTAACGGGTACGATTAAAATATTTTTACAATTTTCTCGTTTTTCATCAGTGCCGTAACCAGAACATCTAAAACGTATAGTTTTCGTGTCAAGTTCGTCGAATGTAGGCCAAAGTTCAAGGCAGGGAGTACAAGTACACGTGAACCAATATTGGGATTTTAATTTTTCTTGTCTTTCTAATTTTTTCATTTGACTATAAATCGGTCCGTAATTTTCCGCTACTATTTCACCCTTTTTTATAGGTTTTGCAGCTCGAACAATCACTTGAGTGCCAATAAAGTACCTGTAATTGAGAGAAAAACCCGAATGAGTAATTATTGTACGTTGATAAGAAAAGTTTAAGTTCATTGACCTGACAATTCCAGGATCGCAAGAATGATTGAAAAGTGCTAATGTCGGATATAAACCACCACCAACGAATAGGGATTTCGAATCATCTAAAATATTTTTATTTTCCATTTCGAGTTCTGAAATTTCGTGAGCGTTGAATTGAAGGATTTGTAAATGGCGTAAAATTAAACCACCGATAAATATTTCATCTTCGGTTAAAGTTTCTACAACAAAATGCAAATTTTTTTTTTTTCAAATAAAAGATTTCGAGCCGTGTATGATGTTTATAATAATAAAAATTTTACCAAGTAAATTATCCGTTTTATTAAAATAATTAACGAGTTTTAAACATTTTAAAAGAAACAAGGCCATGACGGTCCTTTCGAAAAAATCTTTCGTTTCACGTAAATCCTCATGGCGTACTAAATTATAAACTCTTAAATAATCAGAACTTTTATAAACTCCATCAAAATTTTTCTCATCCTGTCAATTAATATTAAAAAAAAATGATTTTTAATTTACTGAGGGTAATGAAACGTTTATTTCAATAAATTTTGTTTTTGTTTTACCACCAATTTCGATTTTAAATTTAAAAAATATTTCAAATTATTTTGAGTTATCATTCTTAGTGCCATTAAAACGGTTATCGAAACTCCTGATTTATGTAATGTTTGCAATATGGAACATTCGTATTTGTGATAATTTGCTGATTCTCTACAATTCAAACTACAGAAAATAACTTGAGAACAATTTTCGCATGGATACGGTCCTTGAGTTCTACAAAATAATAATAATAATAATAATAATAATTTGTTTGCGATTAAATAATTAGTAATTGTTGGTATTCGAAAACCGTTAAATTACCTTTTAAAACAATGTTGGCAATTAATTAAATGATAATCTTCTAATAAAACGGAACAATATGGTTTTTCAACGAGTATCGTTTCGCCTGGGAAAATATTTTCTGATGCAGAAGCAAATCGACCAACCGTCGAATCATTTTTCATAAAAATTTTAACCGATGCTGATTCATAAATTTTATTTTTTTCACTAATAATGTGGAGTTTGTAATTTTCATCTAATTAAAAAAGAAATTGTATTATTTTAATCATGTAAATTTTGTTTTTTATTTTGTCAACAATCTGAATTCGAATTACTTTCAACATTTGAATTATCATTTTTATCATTTGATTTATTCATTATTTGTAACATTATTTGTATATCTTTTTCCATTTTTAATTTTTTTTCCATTGGTAATTTACAATCGTCTAAAGCTTGAAGAGTTTTTTTAAATTCTTCAATTCCTTCCTCGTGTTTTTTCAATGCCAATAATGATTTTGCTTTTCTTTCGTAAATTTTATATTTGAGTTCTTTCGGATAATTTAATTTCAATACCAAATCTATATCATCAATAGCTAAATTGTATAATTGAAGATTGTAAAATGCTGCTGATCTATTTGCTAATGCCAATGACAAATTTTTAGTATCTGGAAAAATAATAATCAAAAGATAAATTGTTAAGTAAAAAAAACTTGATGGTTTGTATTAAATTAAACCGTTTCATACCATTTTTATATTGAGTCATTTTTAATATGGATTCTGAATAATTTTTCAAAGCTTTTTCAAAATCTCCTTTTACAAAAGCTTTATTTCCTAATTCCTTTAGTTTTAATGCTAAATCTTCATCTTTGTTATTTTTAATTATCTCGATGGGAGGCAAATCATTCCAAGTCACAATTTTATTAACAAAACAAATTCTTTCATTATCTGTTTTTAATTTATTGAAATTTTCAAATTCACATTCGGATATTTGTAATTTTTTGTAATATTCTTTAAATAAATATTTAACTTCTTTCGTTGCAATTTGTTCATCTAACATTTTTCTTTAAATTAAAAAAGAAACGCGGAAATATTTTTTTAAAGATATAAAACATGTGCTTCGACTTTCACAATTTTTTAAAAATCTATTTTTAAAACATTTAAATTTCTTTTAATAGAATGGAAATCCGTTGTTCGGTGGTGAACCATTGGCCAGAATACAAAATTATTAAATCTCACCTTGACAAATAATTTTTTTAAAACCGTCAGATAAGTTTTTATCTAAATTCAAATTAAAAACAGAAAATTAGTTAAATTATGAGTTTAGAGATATATTGTTTCAAATTTATAAATTAATTATAATTACCTGAAATTTTTTTTCCAAAATCCTTGTGAAAGGTTTGCTCGTAAAAACCCGCGAAAATGTCTTTTTTACTAAATGCTAAAATAATTCGAGAGAAATCGATAGATAAACTATAAAAAAATTTACATTATTAAACTGTTCGTCAATTTGACAAAATTTTAAATAAAAAAAAGTTTGTAAGAAAAGAATTTATAACTAAATTTACCTGAGAGTTATTTAAAACTTGTAAAAAAAACTCGGACGAAAAAAAATTGACTTTTACCGTTTTAAAAAAAAACTAGTTACTGCCACGGCTTTTTGTAAATAATGAGTCACGTTCAAATTTAAAATTAGTGTTAATTAGTTTTTTTTTTTTTTTTTTAATTTACCACGACAGTTTTTATTTGTAATGCATATTAATTTAATAATGTAATGCTTCAAGTACAAGCTAACAAAAATCTCCTTCACGGAGGGTACTTTCATTCAGTATTAAGATTTTTGCAATCATCTAATGCAGTACTTTCCAATAGTAATTTGATGTATCCAATTTTTTTAATGTATGCATATGTTGTTTTCGATAATTAATAAAAATAACCTTTTGTTTATTTTTTTTTTTTTAAATAATTTAAATTTAAATTTTAGTGATGATGATGACGCAATAGAAACTATTCCAGATTTTCCCAAAGTTTATAGATATGGAGTTAATAAAATAGTTACCGCCCTTGAACCATTAGTTAAAAAAGGTCTATCTTCTGTTTTACTCTTTGGCGTTATTAAAACATTACCAAAAGACGATTTTGGTACACATGCAAATTCAGATAGTAATCCTGTTTTGAGAGCTATAAATAAAATTAAAACAGCTTTTCCAAATTTACTTATCGCTTGTGATGTGAGTGAGGCTTTACAAAATAAACTCCAAATGAAAAGATTTTTTTTTTTTTTAAATACAAAAAAGAAACATTTTTTTTTTAGGTGTGTTTATGTCCTTACACTATACATGGCCATTGTGGAATATTAAATTCAGATGGAACCATTGATAATAAAAAAAGTGTAGCAAGATTAGCTTCGGTAGCTTTATCGTATGGTGAAGCAGGAGCTCATATATTGGCTCCTTCTGATATGATGGATGGAAGAATTTATGCGATTAAACAAAAACTTATCGATTCTGGATTGCACAATAAAGTATCACTTTTATCATATTCAGTAAAATTTTCTTCTTGTTTTTATGGACCATTTAGAAAAGCAGCAAATTCTAGTCCTTGTTCTGGAGATCGTAAAGCATATCAGCTTCCAGGTGGAAGTTCTGGTCTAGCTAAAAGAGCTGCCGTAAGTTTTTTTTTTTTTTTTTTTTTAATTTTATATTTTCCTCATTGAAAATATTAATTGTGATTTGAATATTTTTTATGATAGGCAAGAGATGTAGAAGAAGGTGCTGACATGCTAATGGTAAAACCTGGTCTTCCATACCTTGATGTAATCGAAAGCACGAAAAAATCATTTCCAGAATTTCCTTTATTCGTTTATCAGGTAAAAAAAAATTTATGTGATAACTTTTTGTACCTTACTGATACCTAAATTATGGCTTTGTTTTTTTAACAGGTTTCAGGTGAATATTCCATGTTGATTTCAGCATCCGAAGCTGGAGTTGTCGATTTGAAAGATAGTGTTTTAGAAATAATGTCCTCCTTTCGTAGAGCAGGTACATCAGATTATAACTTTGGTTTATTTTTGTTCAGATGCTCTTACCACCATTTTTTATTAAATTTTAGGTGCAGATTGTATAATTACATATTTCACTCCGTTAATATTAGACTGGATAGAAAATGATGGGAAAAATTCTGAGCATAAGGCTATGTCTTTATCAATGTGATTTGTTTTATGTGTGTTGTTTATTTAAATTATTTTATACGATTATTAATTACGTAGGAGAAAGAAAAAAAAAATTAGTCATTTATACAATAAACAAGTACAAATTAAACCAAATTGACAAATTATTCAAAGAGTTATTATTTTAATAAGTTTTTATTTATTTCGATTAATGTTTTGTAATGAAATATATTTGGTTTTCATTATCGAACAATAATTAGTGATTATTTTAATTAAAAATAAAAGAAAATAAAATCATAATTATATTTAATTTGATTTATTTCAAAATAATTCATAGTCATCATAGTGTGCATGGTAACAATTGAGAGTTAAATAATTTACTATTTAAACAAAAATGTTTATTTTTTCATTAAAATGTAATCGTCAATAAGTTCAGAAAAAATTTCGATAATTTTATCTGAATATGATTCATTTTGAAAAAACTTTCTCATATATTCGTGCCTGTGATTTTCAAGATAATTTTCGTAGACATCATAATTTTCATCGTCGACATTGAGGGTGACCGGTCCCAAAAGATAATGCATGCTCAAAAGTGATTGTATAACTGCCAATTCTTTGTAAAAATCGCAACTTTGTAAAAATTCACGTTTCGATATAACGTTATTAATATTTTCATTTTCTTTTTGTAATTCTATCGATAAATTATCATAATAATAATTTAAAAATTTTTCTTTATTATTATCTCTCGTTATTTTTTTCGTTGTGAAATAAAGGAATTGCATGACGTCATGAGCCGGAGGAGCGTAACGGAAAAATTGAAAATCAACAAGAACGCAGGAATCCGGATTATTTTTTTCATTATAATTAAACATTAAATTATTTTTCCAAGGATCTCCATGCGATATAACATTTTTATACCTGAAATAATTTTATTTAAAATAATTTCTGTTGAGAAACTCACGGTTAAAATAAATTGAAGAAAATTTTTTTTTTGTCAACAACTTACATTTTAGATTTTTTATTTAACGCATAAATCCTCATCATTTGTTCTTTGAATTTTTCTTTTATTATAATTTTTTCTTTTTGAGAATAATTTTTCAATAAATCAATTCCGACTAATAAATCTTGAATTTGCCATGAGATCCATCTTGCTGTCGGTGATTCCGTATTACTTTCATCGTATAAAACTTCACGAAATAAATCAGGATAATCGGCGTCCAATTGAATGGATTTTTTCATTTCCAGTAAAAGTGATGATGCATGGAGTCTGGAAAAAGCTTGTAAAGCTTTTTCAGCATGTTCTTCATCCAAATTTATATCACCATCAACCATGACAAAACCTTTTTCTGACAAATCTTCTAAAACTTCAAAAGCCATACAACATAATTAACATCATTATTATTAATTAATTTCAAAGGCTCGAGACTTACCCAAAATTCTATTTTTACTAAAACAATATTTAGGACACCATTTTATTATATTATTCACATATTTATTACATTCTCCGACTAAAATTTTATAAAAATCAATTTCCCTTTGGAAAATTCCTGTGACTTCCAAGAAATCATTTTCTCTATTGCTTCCACCGTGGGTTTTAATAAAAAATTTTCTTTCTTCTTTTTTCCCATGATAAAAATATTGTACGAAAAGGGTTAAATGTTTACCCAAATAACCCAAAGACTCGTCGCTTTTTTCCAAAATTTTATAATTAATTATTTGATTATTCGTTTCGTTTTCTAAAAAATTATTTAAAACATTTTTAACGTCGTTTTCGTTTAACGAACACATAATTTATGTTAACAATTATTTGTTTACTCCGTGATAAGAGAGCACAATTAACTTTTTAATCACTTAAACGGTTTAACATAGGAAAACTAACATAACATAACATAACAGGGTGATTAATTTAATAATTACGTCATCATTTATAAAACAATGGTGCGTTAAAGTTAAAACGAGAAAATTTTTATTTTTTTCAAAAAAATAATTAATTTAATTAAACGAGTTGTTTTTTTTCGTTACATAATACACGCCATTTTTTTTTTTTTGAAATAATTTTATCAGGCACAAACTTATAAAAAAATGTCTCTATCTCCTTTGCCTTTCAAAACTAAATTTTTACATATTTTTATTAATTATATATTAATAATCTCGATTTGAAATTTCTGTCGCTGTAGGAAATACTCCCAGGATCATTATTAAAAGAAAAAAAATTTTTTTTTATATCACAAAAAATAAATAAATAAATAAAACAATAATTTGTTGATAATGTTGATAAACGAGACTTGCATTGCTGTTTTGTACAAATTTACATTAAATTTGATGACGTCATTAATTGATAAAAAAACTTTTCTCTCTCTCTCTCTCTCTTGGATAACAATTTATTTATTTATTTATTTTTACAAATAGATAATTATAATTAAATTAAAATAAATTTTTTAATAACTTCATTCATTGATTGTGTGACTCTATTTCTGCAAAGTTCATCATTTAAAAAAGAATAAACGATCATTTCCGTTCTATCGTTTAACATGTTTTTAGTAAATGCTTCCGGAGTTGATAAAAAACTATTCGTTATTTCCGGTGGTGATAATATTAATTGAAAAAAAAATAATTTCCCTATCAAACCGAGATCGTAGTAAAAATGACAACTTTCTAAAAAATTTTCCCACGTTATTATCGATCGACCATGATCGATCGAATTCCTATCGAGTTCTCGTATGAAAGATTCGTAATAAAATTTATATATTTTCTCTTGATTTTTATCCATGTATGATTTTTCCAAAACGAAATGCATAAACATGAGTAAATCGTGAGCCGGAGGTGCATAACGTGCTAATTGAAAATCAATTATGAGACCATTTTTAACTTTTCCAGTTTTATCATCTTTTTTAAACAAAACGTTATTTGACCATAAATCTCCATGAACGAAAACGTTTTTAAATCTGGAGGAAAAAAAGAAAATGAAATTTTGTTTTAAGGATTAATAATTAATAGAAATTTTACCTTTTGGATGGTTTAACAAGTTGATAAATTTTTCTCATAACATCAGGAAGTTTATCATGGATTATCATTTTTTCTTCTTGAGTATATCCAGGAAGTAAATCAATAATTTTTAATTGACTTTTAATTCCAGTTTCGTGAAATGTATTTCCAGGATGTCCCTTTTCATCTGATGCTTCCGTTTCAAATGTTAAATGAGAATATAATTCCCCAATGGTTATTCCTGCCATATTATTTTCATTTGATTTGAATTTATTTAAATTTGGTGACATTGATTTTTTTATTTTTCCTTCGTTGAATTTTTTTTCAAATGCTATCGATGATGCATGCATGGCAGCCAAAGCTTTTATAGTTGCATTAAAATGTTCTTCATCCATGTAAGAACGTTCTGGATACATGTAATAATTTAAATTCGTTAAATTTTCTAATACCAGAACATCTTCACCTTTCGAATAAACGTAATCCGGATGCCATTTTGTTTTATTATTATCATCATCATCACCTTGTCCTGATTTGAAATCTCTAAATAAAGTTTTGTATATTTGAATTTCTTTGAAAAAAGCTCTCGTTTTCCTTGCGTATTCGTAATGTTGAGGAACTTTTTTAGGTATTTTTTTAACGAAATATTCAAAATTTTTTATTTCGTTTGATATTTTTATCGAAAAAATGGCTTTGTAATGTTCGCCGAGAAATCCCAGTGTATCTTCTGATGCTGGAACGACTATTGCCGAATCAATTGTAAAATTATCTGTTTTTAAAACATTTCTAAAAATTTCATTAACGTCTTCTATCGTTAAAACATCATTATCCAATTTTATTTTTATGTCGGCCATTTTTTTTTTTTTTAATTCTTAATTTACAATAACTTGATTAATTAATACATAACTTTAAACACTGTAGAACGACTTATAATTCTTTTGAAATGAACTTTGAAACAATTTAGTGGTTAATAAAAGCTTTTGACAAGTCTTTATTATTTTTTTTTTAAATTTATTAACTTGTTAAAACAAAGGGATATAAATTTATTACAAGGTTAAAAACGACGTGTCTTATGTGGTCAAAATTATATAATTATTTATTTATTGTTCGATATGATTTTTTTTTTTTGAAATTGTCTTCGTATTTTATTTTTCCTTCCGTAATTTTCTTTTTCCCCCATTAAAGAAAAAAACTCATCACGATGTGTTTGAAAATTGTAAAAAAATTTTATTATTTAGAAACGCAAAACTTTAAAAATACGTTACAGTTAACTATTTTTTTTTTTTTTTAATGAAATAATTTCAAATTTAATGATTAACCTTTATCTTAATTTAATGTCGAATCAATCTATTTACGTTTATTCCTTTTTAAATCATCATTTTTAATTATTATAAATAAATTTTTAAAATGTAAAAGCAAAACCTTTTTCTTGTAAAAAAAAAAAATCAAATTCTTCACATACAATTACATTTGTGACACTTTGTACGTAATCACTGTCGCCATCTTGCCGTGTCGCCAAATGAAAGGAGTCGCACATTTGCAAAGATAGAAAAAGAAGATGAAGGAAGAGCGCGCTCTTGGTCTTAAAAATTTTTTATATGAATTTTTACAAGGTCGTGAAAATTACAATAACTAAAAGTTGTTAATAATATATAATTATTTATTTATTAATCGTCTTGATGCCTCACAAACATGGTAAATAAAAATCACTTATGAAATTTATGTATGAAATTCCAATAAAAAAAAAATTTAATATCAAAAATGGAATAAAAAATATGCAATGAATTATATCATGAATCATGAATAACAAAATGAGAAATTTCTAGAACAAGATATGAACACCTATAATTTTCATAATAGGTATAGGATAGGGTTAATATTAAACACACAGTTTCTAAAATCATCTTAAAAACCACACACTTTATTATATTTTTGCAAGTAATGCATTCCTTTTTGTTTTATTATAGTTCTAATAAATAACAAGTTATGGTAAATCATTTTACAAATATTTTTCATAAACTTTTTCACAATTTTCATTAAAAAAAAGTTTTAAAAACAAAGCATATATTACACAAAAGATAATTGTTGTGTTTATTTGTAAAAATGACTCATTTTAATAAAATAATTTATTTTATCTAATACAAACTATAAACAAATATTAGATATGTTTTATTTGATTTTATCATTTTCCATTTTATTTTTATTAAAGATATGTACCCAAATCATTTATTAAATAAATTTTACAACAATAAAAAATTTGTTTTAATTCCAGTGCCAGACCAGCAGTGGTTTATTCAAGTTCTGGAGTTAATTAGTAATTCATTTCAAACTCAAAAAAAAAAATATGAATGAAGGGTTGAGGATTATGACTAACAACAAAAGGGAAGAAAATAGACATTTTTTTCAGGAGTTTAATTTTTGACTGTTTTTTAATTGTGTAAGTTTACTTAATAAAATTAATGTTGATTTAAAATTAATAATAATAATAATAACATTTAAATATTAGATTTAAAAAAAACTATAAAATTATCTTCCATGGGATAGGATGCATTACAAATGAATCTGTTTGCGTGTTAATCTTATTGATCGAGTTTTTCGGGGGTAAGAATGGGGTTGTGTTCAACAGAATGCGCATGACGACCAGGTGATGAAAATATTTTCTTTCATTCAGTGTGTATTAAGAATCAGTCAATTAGTGATATAAAAAATATGATATTTATCAAGTTATCAATTAAAAATAATTTTAACGTAAAATGAAAAAAGTTTTAAAATTTGTTAAAGGGAAAAAGGATGAGAAAAAAGATGGAGGAGGAGGAGGAATCACACCTTCGCAATCCGGAGATTTGTTAAGTCCCATTCAAACACCGGACGATGAAAAATATTTAGGATTAGACAATGCTTCCGGATACGTTGTGGATTTTAGTGGAAAAGATAAAACCGTGACGAAATTGCACAAGGCGGCTTGGTTTGGTAATTTGGATAAATTAAAATCCGCATTGAAAAAAATCGAAATCGATGCCACGGATCGTCATCAGAGAACGGCTCTTAATTTTGCCGTAGTTCAAGGTCATCCGAACATTGTTTGGTATTTGTTGGGCAACAATGCTAACACGTCGATATGTGACGACGAAGGTTGCACGCCTCTTTTAAAAGCTATTGAGTGCGGTCATAAAGAATGTTTGAAATTACTTCTCGACCGGGGAGCGGATGTAAATGCGACAGATTACACTGGAAATACGGGACTCCACATAGCTGCAAAACAAGGTTCGCTTGACATAGTTTCCGCCCTTTTAAATAAAAATGCCCGCACCGATATAAGTAATAACACCGGTGATTATCCGTTACATTTTGCCATCAAGTCAGATAATAAAGAATTAGTTGATTTGTTGTTGAAATTTAAAGCGGAAGTCAACGTTTTGGACAGAGAAAACAGAACACCGTTAATGTTGGCCGCTAAAAATGGTAATCTTCCATTAACAAAATTATTACTTGAAACCGGTGCTCAATTATCTCTTGTCGATTCTAATGGATGGACCGCAGAAGATTATGCATTGCTCGGAGGCCATAATGACATCGCATTAATACTCAAACCAATGCTCAAGGACAAAAGTGAAATTCCCAAAGGAGAAAAAATTACCAACGACAAAACGGATTTAATTAATCAAAAACAAATGAGTGAATCTTGGGACGACAGTAAATCAGACAACAGTGACACGAATGAAAGTGTTTCGAAAAAGCTGAAGGAATTTTTCAAAAGTTGTTCCATTGATAAATCCGAAACGGAAGAAAAGGAAAAGAGTGAAAAAAGCGAAACAACTCCGGATTCGCCGAACGTCGAAGTCATTCCTCCATTTTGTCAGCCACCGCGAAGTTGGGACATGATTCAGGCTGGAATGATCGATGGTAATAAAACTGGAGTCGAGCCAAAAAGGTTGAGTTTGACAACGTTGGGAACTCTTCACTCTCGAAGAGAAAGTTTTACCGAAGGTTCGTCGGTCACATCACCGAAATACACATTAAGTTTAAATCGTAGGAAAGATGCCAAAATCGATAAATCATTTGCCAAACAAAGATTTAGCTTTCACGAAGAAATAACTCTTAAAAATTTTTTTAATCAAAACACATCAAAAGAAATCGATTTGATGAAAAGTTCGAGTTTGAAAAAACTCGAAATCGAAAAAGATAAATCGAATAAATCGTTGGAAAATGATGAATCGAAAAATAAAAATGATGAACTTTGTGATACTACCGATAGTAATAAAGTCATATCAATAAATAAATCTGCTCACGAATTAAAAGTCACTAGTCCTTCAGAAAATGTAAATTCTTTCGAAAATGATGGCGGAATGGAAAAAGAACAAAAAAATGAAGAGAAGGAAGAAAATTTGAGTCCCGTATTTAAACAAGTTGAAAAAGAAGAAAAGTACAACAGTTGGGATTCGCAAAGTTCAGAACAGGGAAAAGAAACAAATTTTCCATCTCCACCTTCTGCTCTTGAACTTGGTGCCGACATGGCAAAATCGTTAAAATTTATGAAAGGAATGTCGATTGATCGTCCATCGGTCAAACCGTCTGATAAAAACATATGGAAAAATGCATACGAAACTCGTTCGATTGATTTTCTGGAAGAAAATACAACAATTCCAGAGATTTCGATAAATAATTTTACTAAAAGACACGTGAGACAACATTCGACGTCACAAAATTGGATAAGTAAAGATATATTACCGTGCCAAAAACCCGTTGATAGACTCATTGACGTTAACAGAAGAATAAGCGAACAACTCGAATGTTACGATCAAGCTCTCAAAGAACTTGCAGAAACTTCCAGTGCCAAAAAAGCATTAAAATTAACAGCTGAAAAAATTTCAGCATCGCAAAATTATTATTCTCTACCGTCATCGAAAGGTAAAACTTACAACGAAGATAAACGAACGGTTCCGGAAAGAAAAGAATTTAACAATAGCGGCCCTTCGTCGGCTCCGACATTAATGGAAAATTACATAAAGACAAAAAAAACGGATGACGGTGATGAAAACGTAACAAAACAACCGGAAACGGTTAAATCGGCAAAGGATAAAACATCACCGAAAACAGATTCGGACAAAGTACAAAAACCTTCTCCTCCGACGCACGTCAATTCTTTCGATGGTACCGAAAGGAAAACCAAACGACACATACTATTAGCCATGAGAGAAGTCAAACCATCTCCAAATATAGCAGCAACATTTAAAGCATCGATAGATGATCAAATTTTATCACCTCTGACAAAACCCGACGATGATAGTTTTGATGGAGATGATAAAAACAGTTCGAAAGTATCGTCGGAGAGTGAAAAAGAAAGTCCCATGAACGGTAATTATTTTTTCGGATTGGGAAGACAGGAAACGGTTAAAGAAAAACCGGATGTCGGTAGAAGAAAATCTAGTAGTTCGGAAACTGGAGAAGAACCAACACTTTGGCTACAAGACGATTCGAATAAAATCGATGTATTATCACACGAATCTGATAATGATGTTTCCGAAATAGCAGAAGACGAACGTGGTGTTAATAATAATAATAATAATAGAACATGTTCATTTTCACCGTTGGAAATTATTTATCAAGAAATATTAGAAGAAAATGAAAAATCGGAAAAAGTTTTAAAAACGGAAATCCAAAAAAATACTGATGATGATGATGATGGCGGCGGTGGTGATGGTGGTGATGGCGGTGATGAAGAATCAAAACGAGAGTCTTCCATTCTTCGTGATAGCATCTTTGGTAAATTTTCCGGGTAAGTTTAATAATTACACTTTAATTTTTTTTATTACAAAATTTATATTTCATCGCAATCGGATATGTAAATTTCATTTTTTGGTCTTCCGGTTTTTTTCGAACCGAGACTTTCGATTATGTCTAATACGTGAATACCTTTTACGATTTTACCAAACGCGACATGTTTGCCATCCAAAGATATTAATTTTCTAAATGTTATTAAAAATTGACTGTCGTTACGATTCGTTGTTCTTTGATGCATCGTTAAAACACCTAAAAGAAAACAAATTTGTCCCGTACGTACCGTCGTGGAAGTAGAAATTTTTTAATAGAGTAAACAAACCAACACCAACCTCTGCTATCGTGTTTAATAGAAAAATTTTCACATTTAAAATAAGGTCCGTAAATGCTCGTACCGCCAAAACCGTGATTTTCAACCACGTCACCCGTTTGACAATAATAATTTTGAAAAATTAAATAAAAAAAATTTCCCTTGTACGTGAGTGAATTTTTTGAATTGCAAAAATTTAAAAAATTTTTAACCGTTACAGGTACGAAATCCGAATACAAAACTGCGACCATTCTCCCTACGACTCCAAAACCTTTTATTGACACTTCAAAAAAAACTCTGTGGAAAAACATGACAAAAAAATTTTTTTTAACGGTTATTTTACAAAAAAAAAAAAAAAAAAAAAACCGTGGTTTTAGAAAAAGAAATATTTGACGTGTCATTAAATTTAAGAAATTACCTCGGTCTCTTATCGGAATATCTTGCAGATTTATCCGTTATATATTGTTGTACGTTTGGAGGAGGCGACATTGTTTCCATAACATTTTTTTCAGTTTTAACTTTCCAATAAAGTGGAAAATCGGATAAACCTTCCATAATGGCTTCCATTTTTTTCCAATCTTCTGCATGTTTTTTAACGGTATCCAATGTCGGACCCTTAGTAGTCAGACATTTACATCTTTATATCGTTGGCAACAAGAAAAAAATAGAAAAAAATTTTTATCACTCACCGGTTTTTTCAATATGGTCGACATGACTTGAACATTATGATTTTCAATATTTTGTGCAAATTTTTTACGATCGAAATAATTTGTCGGTTTTGATTTTTCATAATTATATGAAAAAGTGTCGGTTTTCCCACGTCTCAAACAAATTTCAAAAAGTGATTTAACAATTGCTATATTTCCATCGAAACGATTTTTAAGATCTGTTCTTATTGAACTTAATAATTCTGGATCGTAAAGGGATGATATGTTTAACTTGGGGGGTTTATCATCGACGATTGCCTTACAATTTCTCAACTAAATTCATGGATAATAATTAATTAATTAATTAATTAAAAGAAAATCCAATAGTTTTACTACATAAAATTATTATTATTATTAGTATTACGAGACGCATGTGTTTTTTAATAAATTCTTTTCTCTTTTTAACTTCACGTAACCAAGGTATCACATCGGGATCGGAATTTTTTTTATATTTTCTAACCGTTCCACCCGATACCAATCCTTTGCAGGTACATTTTTTCTTTTTTTTCCTCGTCGTCAATGATTGACTTGTCGATGTGAAAAAATCATCCGTGTTACTACCCGGAGTTTGAGGATTTGAATATGTTAAAGGCGTTGATGAATTTAAACTGTGATAAGGTTGTTTCGACATTTTTCAAAATTAAATTAATTTATCATTAAAACCGCACACGCACACCCACGCACACGCACAAACTTTCCTATCGGATAAAATTTTCAAAAAAAAAAATTTTATAACAATTATTATTATTATTATTATTAATATAAATAATAAACGATTCTTTCACTCCCTGAATAAATCAAAAAAAAAAAAAATTTAAATTTAATTGATTTTTATTAAATTTCTCTCTCTCTCTGTCATTTATTATTAATAATAATAATAATAAAACGTGATGAAATGTTAATAAAAAAAATATATGAAAAATTTAAACAATTGTTATTGAATATTGACGCCATTAAACTTTAAATTCCTGCCTCCCCCTCCCCCCCCTTCCTTTTTCTTTTTCCCATATAAATAAAGGAGGCTTTGATTGTTTACTAAAAAAAAAAAAAAAAAATGGACACGTTGACCGTTGTTGTTGATAAATATCATATTATTTCTAGCCGAGAAAATGATTATTATTATGATGATGATGATGTGAAAAGAATACAAGATCAAAGTCCCGATGTATCGTTATCAAGTGGACCCATCGAACCTTTAGGAGATGATAAAGATTCAGGAAGCGAACCTGAAAGTAGTCACAACGATATAAGTCCAACAACAACGCATAATCATCATCATTATTCTCTAAAGGTATAATGTTATGTTTATTAAAACCTGAAAATCCAGTAAGTAAAAATTTAATAATTATTATCATTATTATTATTAATTATAGAGTCAACAAGAATGGTTAAAAAGTCATTTGAAAACTGCAACATTTGAAAAAAATAAATTAGAAGAAATAGCAGCACAATTATTGGAAAAAGCAGAAAGGTTACAATATGAATTAGCTGATGCTAAAGAAGCGACTAAAAGTAGAGACGAAGTAAATAAAGTTTAAAAGTAGATGAGGAGTAGGAGAAGGGGGGAGAAGGGGGGAGAAGGGGGGAGAAGAAAATCTAAAAAAACTTGTTTGTTTTTTTATTATCAGGTTATAAAATTATTACAAGAACAATTATCCAAAATGGAAACGGCTTATACTAAAAGTTTAGAAGAATCCGTACATAGCAGACTACAATTGACGTCACACGAACAAGAAATATCACATTTGAAAGAAATTTGTTATAAATATGTTGAAGAAGAAAAAACGTATAAAGATTGTAGCGGAATTGATAATTCTGATATGAAAACAACAAACAATGTTGAAAAAATGGAATTTAAAATTGTAAGACTTTTTTTGTTGGTACTGAGAGCAAGAGGGTGGGAGAGAGATGGTTTTAAATCGTTTTATTTTTATTTTAGAAAAGGTTAGAAGAAGAAAAAGAAAAAATGAAACAAGAAATAGTTAAATTAGAAAATGAAAAAACTACACTTGTTACACGGTTGAAAGAATTAACGGAATCATCGGATATAATAGAACAACGTCAGCGGTGGAAGGAGCGGTCAGTTATTACATAGCGGTATCTATACTATTTTACATCTTTTTATTTATTTCCCCCCCCATCGCCCCCCCGCACCCCCTCGCGATTTATCAATTTCGATTGTACCTTTGATAAGAAAAAGAAAAACGTTAACAACAATACAACAACAACAAACAAAACGTTTGAAAGAAAGAAAAAAGAAAAGAAACCTTTTTTTCCGCTTCAATAAATTTTCTGTTTTGTGTGTAGTAACACAAAAGCAGAAGATAAAATTATTTGTCGATGCGACCTCTTTAGTGTAAAAATGGAACCAAAAAAATCCTTTCGGCCATTTTGATTTGTAACGTATTTTAATAGTATTTATAATAATTTTTTTTATTTAAATTTTAAGGTTTGAAGGTAACGAAGAAGAAAACGATAAAAAAATAATGACCACGACGACGACGACGACGCCGACGATGACGTCATTAGAAAAAAAATTAACGAATTTATTATATGAAAATAAAGAATTAAATATAAATATAAAAAAATTATCGGGTTATTTCGAATGTGATAAAAAATTAATTTTTAACAATGATGAAATAAAAGAATCGTTGAAAGAATTCAAATGGAAAAATGATGAAATTGATAAAAATATAAAATTGATTTACGATGAAATACAACAGCAGAAGAAAATTAATATTCAAACGAAAACAAACGAAAATGATATAAGATTATTAATAAAACAATTTAATAAAGAAAAACAATTATTAATTGAAATTTACGAAAGGAAATTAAATGATTTTAATAAAATCGAAAAATCCAATGATTATTATTATAAAAAAGAAAACGAATCTTTAAAAAAAACAATAAATGATTTTCAACGTGAAATAAATTTAATTGAAATGAAATTAAAAAAAAACGTGTCAGAAGAATTAATGAAAGATTTAAAAGAACAATATAAAGCGCTCCTGTCGTCGGAATCAACAATTAATTATCATAATCAAAATTGTAATAATAATAATAATAAAAATAATGATGATGATGTACACGATTTACAACCGCAGGAAAGAGAAGAAATGAAAAATACAATTAATGACGTCAATAAAGATGACGTCATTGTTAATTTAAAAGAAAAATATGTTGAATTTGCTAAAGAAAATGTTAAAATGAAAAATATTTTATTGGATTTAAAAAATCAAATAAGTACATTAACGGATGTTTTGTCGTCCTCGTCGTCGTCGAATTACAAAACCGGAAGTCAAGGAAAAAAATTATCAAAGGAAGTGGAAGAAGAAGAAATCAATGGAAATGAAAGTAAAAGGAAAAAATTAATAAAATCCGACGTATTAAATTCTTGGACGAATCTTTACGGTATAAAAACATTTAATAATAATAAAAATATAAAACGAAACGATTACGACATGGAGGAGGAAGAGGAAGGGGAGAATCACGTGACGAAAAGAAACGTGGCAGGAGATGAAAATAAAATAATATATAAGGTAATTAACGGGGGAGATCAAAGTGAAAAATTAGAATTGATTAAATTGAGAAGAGAAATATCGTTGTTGAAAGATAAAATGACGAACGAGAAAAGTTTAAGACAAGAATTGGAAAATCAAATAAATTACATGAATACGGATATAAACGAGAAGAAAATTCTAGAAAACGAAATAAAAACGTTAAAAAGAAAAATAAATAATGATAAAATGCAAAAATCCGATTTTGATTTGATCAAATATCAAAAAGAACTTTATGAAAAACGTGAAAAATATTTAAATTACGGAAAAAAAAAACGAGACTCCTGCCACGACGACGACGACGACGACGAGTATGGCGATGATGACGAAAACGAAAACGATGAAGAGTATAAAAAAAAATGTGAAAATCTCGCGAGAGAAAAAGAAAAAACGATTAAAATTAAAAATAATTTATGGAAAAATTGTAAAAATTTTTTACATTACGATATACCCACGTCATATTCACCCTCTTCTGACTCCCCTCAACCCCTTCTACTACAACCCTCTTCCCACTTACCACCACCGACTCAATCATCATCATCATTATTATCATTTCATTCATCTCCATTTTTACATTCGGCGGAAATCAATATTGATAATATAAAACGTTTTTCACATTATTTAGAACCACAAATAAAAACACAATTGGACGTGGAATTAGAAAAAAGTATAAAAAAACATAAAACCGGTAAGTATACGTGCAAGAAAACAAATTATTATTATTATTATTATTAATACCAACCGACGACATTTTTTTCTTTATTTTTTTTCAGGGCCTTTTTTCAACGCGTCAACCGATTCAAACGTCACAAATTAATCTTATTAATATTATTATTATTATTTTTTATATGTTTATTATATTATTATTATTTATATCTGTATATATATTTATTAGAATGTTTATAGTAAATTAATTTGTTATCAATTATTATTTATATTACTCTTATGAGGTTGATATTAAGTATTGATTTTTTTTTATTTATTTTCGAATCCATTTTGTTTATATATATTATAAATAAATAAATAAATAAATAAATAAAATGTTTTACTCAAAAAAAAAATTTTTTTTTTTTTTTAAATATATATAAATATATATAATTTATTTGACAAAAGTTTTAACTATATTTATTATGTATTTATATATTTATAAATTTTTTTTTAATATGAATATACAAGTGTGTGTGTGTGCGTGCATATATGCATACACACACAATGCGTGCTTGCGTGAGTGCGTGCGTGTATGTGTATATATATATATATATATGTATGTATAAATCAGGTACGAGCGCTCAGGTTTTTTTAAATCCTTTTTCATTTTGTTCTTCTTTTTTTTTTCCACTTTTAATTAATCGATATCATTATTATCATCGATTTTTTTCTTGGGGGAGAGGGGAGGGAGGGAGGAAGATTTCGATTCGTCTTTCAATGTCTTCCTCAAGTAATTGATGTCGCTCGATGTGTGAGAATTTCATCAATGAATGACCGTCGACGATGTCCTCCTCCTCCTCCACCATCATCATCATCTTCGCGATGTTCTTGCTTGCGCGTGTGTGTTGTGGGTGAGTGGGTGTGTGCGCGCATGTTCCGATGGAGCTCCCTTTTATCTCTCTCTCTTTGTCTCGCGCGCTAGTTTTCCAGTCGGTTATTATTCTCTGTCTATCAGTTTTAACTTGACGGGACCTTTGGGAGCTAGTAAAAATTCAAACATGAGTTCCAAATCTCCATCGAATTCCAAATGAAATTCCAACACGATCTGCAAAACGAATAATGTTCAAAATGTATTATTTCACCTCGAAGATAAAGTGTGGGGGAGAGGTGAGGGGAAAAGGGGGGGGAATTATCACCTTGGCAAGAACAATTTGCAATTCCTGTTCCATGAATCTTTTACCGGGACACATTCGTCGTCCGCTTCCGAACGGTGCGACCAAATAATTACTCCTTTTCGAACCTTCCGCGAGCCATCGTTCCGGTTTGAAATGTCCCGCGCTTTCGAAATTAACTTCTTGCATGCACGCCATCCACGTGTGACACAAAACAACCGTCTGAAAATGATAATGATAATAATAACAACAATAATAATAATACTAAAACAAACACGTGATGATAACTTACTCCCGGTTTCAAATGATACCCGCACACGTCCATATCACTTTCTAATATTCTCGCTATGCAGGGGGCCGTGGGTAGTACTCGAAAAGCTTCCGTTATGCAAGCCCTTAAATAAGATGCGTTTTTCAATGCGTCCGGCGTGACGGTGCTTCGTCTCAACACCAATCTCGATACTTCTTCGTGAAGTTGTTCTTGTACGTTTTTATGCTTGGCAATGAGGTACATCAAAAATACCAAAGTGTTACCAAACTGTCACAATATAAAAATATCAATATCAGTAATAATAATAATGATGATAAAACTTTCGATCGACATATTTTTTATCACGACCGCAAAAAAAAAAAAACTTGCAAGAAAAAAAAAAAAAAAAAAAAAAACTTGTTCGACGTCTACTTGAAAAATGCAAAATTGTTTTTATTTATTTTCGATGCTAACAAACTCACTCAGTCAGTCATTCACTCAGTCATTCACTCAGTCAGTCAGTCAGTCACTCATTCACTCACTCACCGTTCTTATTCCTGCGGCTATGAAATCAATAATGGCAGCTTTTTTATCTCTTTCGTCCAATCCTTTTGCTTTTAATATAGATACAAAAACGCTTTGTACATCGTTTGTTTGACACGTGTCGTTTTCTTCTTTTCTAGATTTTTCCACCAAATCCGATATTATTCTTCATTATGAAAGAAAGAAAGAAAAAATAATAATAAAAATTCCACCGCCATCTTTTATAAATAAAAGATATATATATATATAATTACTCGTAAATGACTTCTTCGCTTTCGACAAATTGTTTGTAGGATTTTGTTGGGAAAGCTTTCCAAAATGGCAATCCGTAGAAAGTGTCGCGAGACGCGCAAAAATGAACTTTGACCGCGGCGGCTAATTTTTCCGCCAATTCGTCGACTTCGTCGTCCAGGAAACCCATTCTCCTTCCCAGTATGAGCGTGCACGTTATTTCCAGACCCATTCTGTTCGTGAATTCCTCAAAGGAATGAACTTCGTTATTATCGTTTCTCGTCGTTTTCAACAAGGATATGAAATCGTCAGTGACCGCGTTTTGTTCTGGAAGAAATCTCATCACCGTTTTGGTGCTTGTCAATTCCGCCGTGAGCACGCTACGAAGGTTGTGCCAGATTTCTCCTTGCCTGCGAAACAACAACAACCGATTACGATGATGATAAACCGGAAATGGAAAGAAAGAATCGGGTGGTGGCGGTGGCGGTTGTAAACAAATACGTTACGATAACAAACCGGAAAGGGAAAGAAGGAATCGGGTGGTGGCGGCGGTGACGGTGGAGGTTGTAATAGATGGCGGTGTGTTTTATATGTAACGGTCGATCAATGATTCGATCGGATCAAATGTAATTTTTTTTAATGGCGTCGTAAAAAAAAAAAAAGAAAGTGAAAGTTAAAAAAAAAAAAACGAAGGCAGGGAGAAACCTGCCGACCTGTTTCCTGTTTCCTGTTTTCTTTTTCTTTCTTTTTCAACTTACTCGTTAATTATTCCGAGATTTGTATAACGATCGGGTCTACTTTTTCTGTAGTAAACGGTTACTTCCGTCGGTGGTCTCAATGGATATTTACTGTGATGCATGAGCACTTCTTCAATGGACTTCTTGTCCATTATGTTGACCACCGGATGATTCCAAAGAGTTTCCTCTTTCACCACTTTACCATATTCTTCGAACATGTGCTTATACGCTTCGTGTATTTTATTTAATTTATACGGTCCGATTGAAGAAAATATCCAACGCGTACCCAAAATGGGTAAACTGGGTCTCGGGCCAGGTATGTCCTTGAAAGTCAATTTATTGCCAACTGAAATCGAAAATAATGATAATGATAATAATGATGATAATAAAATCTTTTTTATTTTTTTTTCCCCGATTTTGTTCCGTTTCGTTTCCTCCCCCGTTTCTTCTTCTTTTCTCTCTCTCTCTCTCTCTCTTTCTCACTCTTTCTTTCTTTTTTTCCGTACGTAATTTATGATGGTGAGAGAGTGAGAGTGAGAGTGAGAGAGATAGAGGGAGGGAGGGAGGGAGAGGGGAGGGGAAAAAAAAGTAAAAATTAAAAGAATAAATTAATAAAAACATAAATCTAACATATAAGTATATAATAAAAAAAAAAAAAAAAATTGCTACCCGCTGTCTGTTTCGGATCGTAAAAAAAAAAAACCATTTTATAGCGAAAAAAAAACCCATTTTACAGCGAAAAAAAAAAAAATTTTTTTTTTGTAAAAAAAAAAACCCATCCATTCAAATAAATATTATAAAACCATTAAAAAAAAAAAAAAAAAAAAAAAAAAAATTTTTTTTTTTTTTGAAGGTTGTCTATTGAGCGTCTGAATTTTTACAATATTATTTTTTGCATTTTTTTTTTTTTTATTCTGAACAATTTATTAAATTTTTTTTTTTTTGTTGTTGACGGAATGTTGTCTGTGTTATTATTATGTTGTTTATTACAAAAAAAAAAGGGCGGAAGGATGAAAGAGAGAGAGAGATAGATATATAGATAGAAAAAAGGTTTTATTATGACGTTTATATTGCTCCAATTTTTCGCTTTTTTTTCACTTTTACTTTTTTTTTTTTTTTACTTTTTGCTTTTCTTCGGGTTTTCAATAAGAAGAAAAAAGAAAAAGAAAAAAAGAAAAAGAAAAAAAATTCTTCCTACCTGTTGTTCTTTTCTTTTTTTTTTTAACTCTCAGCCATATTGGTCGATATTCTGTCAATGCGAGCAAAATGACAAATGCAACAAGAAAAATAATATCTAATGGAGTCCAACTCAGTCTTAACCACGTAAACAACATCCTGAAAACAATAACAACAACAACAACACAAAAATTTAGTCAATAATAATAATAATAATAATAAATAGCAGATGGATGGCACAACAACAGGCACTTTGGGGGCAGATGTAAATTTTTTTTTAAAGTGAAAACAGGAGGACTGACGGACGGACGGACGGACGGACGGATGGATGGACTGCGTGTGCTGCGTGTGTGTGTGTGTGTGTGTGTGTGTGTGTGCGTGCGGGTGCGTTTGTGCCCATTTAACAAAAGAAAAGAAAGGGTGAATATGAAAAAAGAAGAAGAAAAATAAAAATGTGCAAATTTTTATTTTTCTTCTTCTTCTTCTTCCTTCGTGCAAATAGCAAAAATATTCAGCTGGAAAAAGACAAAATTTAACCCTTTTACTCGTGCCATTAGTCAAAAAAAAAAATCATCTGGAATCATCTGGAATAAATTTAAAAAAAAAAAAAAAACTGGAATCGGTTGTTTTGATAAAAATTTATTTATTCGTTTCCTATCACTTCCTTTCTAAATTTTTTTTTTTTTTTTTGGTAACCGGTCGACGAGTTTTCGTACAATTTTTATACAAACTGGAATTCAAAACTGGAAAAATAATTAATGAGGAACCGTTGAAGAATTTAGTATTATTATTATTATTATTTTTTTTTTTTGCAAGATAAATTGGCAAAAACTGGAATTAATTGTTTCATTTTTTTTTTTTTTGCGATTCAAATTTTTTTTTTTTTAAAACGTGAGATTGATGAAAATCATCATGTCCGTCTGTCTGTCTACTTGTGTTTCTCTCTCTCTCTTTCTCTCTCTCTCTCTCTCTCTCTCTCTCTCTCTCACTCACTCTTGGTGCCCTTGCCCTAGACCTTCGCCTCTTTCTAAAAAAAAAAAATTTTTTTATCTTCTTTAATAAGTGATCGAGTCGTGGAAGAAGAAGAAGAAGCAGAAGATGTTGGAATTGACATCAATATACACCCTTCAGCACTTTTTTTTTCTGCTTCTTCTTCTTCTTCTTCTTCCACGACTTTCAAGGCCTCTTTCGAAACTTCCCCTCTCCCCTCCCCTCTTTCCCCGACTGTTGTGTTTTGTGACGTATCTAAAGTAAAATAAACCCTTTAATCCCACATGTCCTTCCATTTAATAATAATAATAATAAAATTTTAAAATTAAAAAAAATCATACGGTCAACAATTTGACCTTTGACTTCTCCCTTTTTTTTCTTTTATTGGTATGAATAATTTTTTAAAATTTAAAATTACAACAAAAGGGAAACGAATCATTTTTTTTGTTTTGTTTTTATTTGTCCAGCTGGAATTTTTTAAAATCCATTATTATTATTATTATTATTGAAACGAGACGACGTGTTAACTGATAATAAAATTAATAATGATGATGATAAAAACCGATCAATTTTAATTAAATCAGTTATCGATACGTGATTGATTATTAATTTCTTTACCGATATTTCATTCGAACCTTTTCCCTATCGTCATTATTATTATTATTTTTCATTGTTCGAACCGCGTATTCATCTTTTTTTACGGGGGGAGGGGGGAGAGGATAAAATTCCTCGATCGTCTCTTTCGTCTTCGTCGTCATCACGACCGTTTTTTTTTTACTCCCTCTTCCCCCATTAAATTAAAGAAGAATTTTATAATTTTTTAAAAAAAGAAAGAAAGAAAGCATACACCCACACACTCTCTCTCTCTTTCTTTCTTTCCATTTAAAATTCACCCCCCAAAAATTAAAATAATTAAAACAAATAAGGTCAATTATACGAGGACAATAAAGGTTACGTCAATTTTATTGAGATAGGTCAATATGGTTGGCCAGCAGATTTATACGAAGGTCGTCTCTCACGGCTTCCTCCTACTCCTCCTCCTCCACCACCACCACCCCCTCCTCCTACTCCTTCATCACGTCTTGTTGGCACAATCTTATCCCCTCTTCTTATTACACATAAAACATTTTAATAAGTCTTAAACGTCTCAAACGAACATGTTATACATATTAAGAAAATTTGGTGTCAAGATCACGGTTACTCTTATTACGACGATGACGACGACAACGACGATAATAATAATGATAACATAACTAAGGAAACAAAAGGCAACAGTGTCATCATCGCTTTCGTTCCCGTGTACAATAATTTCCACGTTTCTTCTCCCCTAATTTTCCTTTTAAATTTTTTTCCAAAAAAAAAAAAAAAAAAAAAAAAAAAGTTGTTTGTTGTTGTTGTTGTTGTTTGTGGTCGTTTGTCGTAGTCGTAGTCGTCGTCGTTGACGTACGAGATTTTCCTCACGTATCCTTGATGTACCTGAACGCAATTTTCTTTTTATTAATATTTATTATATAAATACGAGTATCGTATTATTTTTGTACGAGCGAGCCGTGAGCAATAAAATTTAATTGAATCCAGGTTATGTCGACGCTTTTAAAATATTAATAATAATAATGATAATAATAATAATAATAATAATAATAATAATAATAATAATAATAATAATAATACTTGATTACGCGTAAGTGTGTGGCATAAATATGACACTTGACTTGTTTGTCTGTCGCCGTGGTAAATTCCCGATTGGGTTTTAAATGAAAAAATTATTATTATTATTACGTAATTTTTTTTTCTTATTCCGGATAATTACGCCTTTTCCTCCCTCTCCTTCCCTCCCACCCCCGCCCCCCACTCACTCTCTCTCTCTCTCTCTCTCTCTCTCTCTCTCTCTAACTCTAACCAGAAATTTTTTATTTGAGAAAAAAAAATAAAAATTTATTTTCACAACATCTGTTGATCCCAATCCCACAACAACAACAACAAAAAATTAATTACGTAATTTTCAATAATTATTAAAAAAAAAAAAAAAAAAACTTCACGTCATTGCACAATAATAATATCATCATCATCATCATCGTGATTTTCGCATAAAATAATATCCAAAGACTCGTTCGTTTGCAAGTTTTAGGGGTTATAATAATAATAATAATAATCGTTTATTTTTTTTCAAATATTATTAATAATAATAATAATAATAATGATAATGATAATAATTTATGTTATAATTTTATACGTATCCTTACGTAATTAATTTTTTTTTTTTTTCACAAAAACAACCACCATAAAAAAAAATTCGTTATATCATTTTTATATAATTAAATCGACATTTTTTTTTTTACGCATATAATAATGATAATAATAATGGTGATGATGATGATATATTTTAAAAAAAAAAAAAACTTCCGTGAGTTGTAATTAGGTACGACGTATCTCTCTCTCTATCTCTCTCTCTCTCTTAAAAAAAAAAAAAAAGGTAAACAAAATCGATTGGACGTGGGAAATTTGCAATTGAATGAAAAAAAAAAAAAAGGCTCGTATTCGTTTTTTTTTTTTTTTTTTTTAAATTGCCAACAATAAATCACCTTGATAAAAAAAAAAAAAAAAATGGTACAGGTACGATCGACCTAAAAAAATTAATTACAAATATGAGGAAGAAGAAACTTTTTTTTTTTTTAAGGGCACAAAAAAAAAAGAAGCCGGAAATACCTTTTCCCTTTGTTTTTTTTTAATAAATAAATAAATATCGATTTTATTATCATTATTATTATCGATATTGATTTTCCCAATCGATCGAAACTTGCCACCATCTGTTCGTACCTGAATTTTATTTTTGCGATTTTTTTTTTTTTTTTTAAATGAAAATTATCCGCGCAAAATGTTTTGAAAAAACGAAATCTGAAAGATTTTATCGAGTGACGAATGAATGAATGAATGAATGGCGATGATGATGATGATAATGAAATGATCGTCAGTGGCGTATTTAGTTATTCAAACATGGTTTTGTTTTTCATTTTTGCCATAGTGCCAAGTGTGTTGTTGTCTCACATTATTAAAAAGCGGTTATGACGTGTGGCACGACCGGAACAACAAAAAAAATTTGCACGAATGCACCTGAGATAACTGTCCTGTTCGATATAAAACTTGATTCATTTAAACAATTATATACTGTCTCTCTCTCTCTCTCTCTCTCATTCTTTCTCTCTTTCTCTCTCTCTCATTCTTTCTCTTTCTCTCATTCTCTCTCTCTTTCTCTCTCATTCTTTCTCTTTCTCTCTCTCTCATTCTTTCTCTCTCTCTCTCTCTCTCTCTCTCTCTCTCTCTCTCATTCTTTCTCTCTCTTTTTCGTTCCTAACGTGTTTCTTACGATACAAAAAAATAACGTTTTTTCGTTTTAATTACGTTTTTCATTCATTTCCCCCCAAGCTGAAAATGTTTTCCAGAAGGTGAAGAATGTTTTACTTTTTCAAACGAAAAAAATTTAATTATTTTTCCGGATACTGACCTCTCACATTTTTCTTTTAAACCCCCCCTCCCCCCAAAAAAAAAAAAAAAAAATTTTCGTGTTGTTGTCGTCATCAACACACGAACACGAAAACGTTTTTTTTTTTTTTTTTTTTTCTCGCTAATTTCTAACGACTTAAAAAAAAATTTATTTCTCGAGGGTTCGCCGTAATAATAATAATAATAATAATAAAGTTTACTTTTTGATAAGTTAACATCATCATCATCATCATCATCGTCATCTCCTTTATGGGGTTCATTAACTTTTTTTTGTTTTTTGGGTTAAATTTGATAATACAAAATGACCCAAATGGCATATAAGAATGTCGTCACTCAATGAAATAAGTCTATATGAAAAAAACTCGTCGCGATTTCCTTAAAAACATTAAACGAACAAAAGTTCGGTTATCACTGGACTCTACTCTTCCTACATAAAAAATCGTTATTAATAATAATAATAATAATAATAATAATAAATATTAGTTATTTGTAGTGCAATGATGGCATCATAGGTTATCGAAAATTCTACGCAGATTTTGAATGTTCGAAAAAAAAAAAAACTATTATTATTATTATTTTACGACTGCAACAATTAAAAAAAAAAAAAAAAAAAAAAGGAAAAAAAAGGAGAGTAATTAAGCCCCGCATTTGACCCTCGTATACTAAA